AGGAACCTTTCACAGGATATTCAAAAGAGCAAGGGAGCTTCCACGTTTTCAAACCTCTTTCACGGATTTAGATTCTTTTTGCTTGAGGACAAGCAAAGATCTAAGTCTGGGGGAGTTGATATACCTCTAATTTACCCACTTTTTATACTGTTTTAGCATTGTTTTCTAATGGTTTTTGGCAGGTTTTCTATCTAAAAAGGTAGTTTTACTGTGTTTATAGTGTCTAGAGTCTAAACAGGTGAAATGATGCATTTTGGAGCAAAACCATAGGATTTGCACTTCAAGCAGCTCCATGCACAAGCACCAACTTTAAGAGGGCCCAGAAAAAGATCTACTCAATGGATTTCATCAAGACCAGTTCCCTGCGTGCTCTGATTGAGTTAACTTTCCAACGCAATTGGAATGGCTCATTTGGATGAGTAGAAAAGGAGTTATACCAAAAGAGTGAAGACTGTCCAGACGGCTCTATCGAGAACAGCGCCCAACCGCGCAGTCCGGCTGGCCGAGGAACGAATGTTCCGCGCTCGGCCAAACGTATCCGTCCGACTGAAGTCTCGGCCAAAGTCCAAACCACTCGGCCGATCACACATCACGACCCGGGAAACATTGTCCCGCGGTCGGCCAAGCCAACGTCACGCCACACGCGCACGACCAAAGCGCGCGAGCCGGGAACAAGCCTCGCGGCCGCGCAACCCTCTCGCGTACCACGGCCGATGCATCCGTCCGAGCCGGGAAGAACGTCCCACGTCCGGCCGAGAATTTCATCGGCCAAATTCATCCGTCGACCACGCCGGCCGACCGCGAATCCGTCCGACCCCGACCGTTCCGACTCGCCCACGACCCGATTGTCCGGCCGATCGTCCCGACGACCGTCCCAACGCCGCGGTCGACCCGAAGCCCGTTTTGAAGCCCAAACTTATGTTTTCAAGCCCGGCTTAACCCTAAGCCGCCTCTAGAAAGACCTAGCACTATATATATATTTTTAGCCTCTTGAGAAAGAGAGCCGCCCTTGTATTTCGATTTCCTACTCTAAGTTTTATTGCAATCATGTTTTCTTCATCTCTATGTGTGTTTGCTTTGATCATGTCTGAGTAATCCACTAGTTAGGTTGCTAGGGTTACTATTCAATGAGTTGCTTGCATGATCTTTGATTTCAATGATTAGCTAGGGATTATATTAGAGTCTTTGTCTCGTCTTGTGCACTTAACTAATGCTGATTGCTTTACCGCGCATCTAGTAATCCGATCTTAGGTTGATTTGAGCCTCGACAGTGCTGTATCATTCGCCGGACATATTCTTTGACAAGCTAGGTTTCTTAGACTGCGAAAGTTGATCTATCTATATCTAGTGAACTGTATCAGAACCTATTCATTCTAATGCTTGATTTAATCACCTAGGGACATACCAAAAGTTTAGCGACTAGGTAGATTAACAAAGGAGCCGGAGCCTCGAAAGTGGAATGGTTTTATATTCGTGATCTGTGTTCTAGATGGTTCTTAATATCCCAATATCCCTAATCAATTAATCTATCATTGTTTCATTGATCATTGCTTGCTTCTCTGCGATAGCCCCTATGACCTAGCGCTTTTCCTTTATTGATTTACAACCTCGTTTACTTGCTAGTTCGGTTCACCATTACAACCTCAATCATACTTTTGTTTTAGCTTGATCCAAAATCCATAGTTCAAAGTGTACTCAATAGCCAGTCCTTGTGTTCGATACCCATACTTCCGCGATCTGTGCACTTGCAGAGGTCTAGGAGTTTGGTAAAACCTGACTCCGCATCAATTTTTCACCTTTGGTAAGAAAGTGGGTGAAGTAAGCAGGTTGAATTGATGGTTAGACTTTTTCAGAACCTCAGAAACTTTATCAATGTTGGCCATAACATCTTTGACCATTTGCATTTGATCAAATGCCTCACTCATGCTTTCCATAGGAGGCAACTCAATTCCAATCCTACTGAGATCTCTTCTGAACTTGTGAATCACTTCCTTGTGCCCTTGACTAAGTAGGCGAGACGAGGAAGTGTCAACCGGTTGGTAAGGATCAAGCAAAATCGGCTTTGGGACAGATGAGGTCGGACTCGATCGAGCTAGATTTCGACTCGATCGAGCTTGTTGTGCGAGCTCAACTGGTGAAGTGTGAAGGGCCACAGTAGGTGCCTGCACTTCTGGTTGATCAATCTGGACTCCAGGAGCCTCAGCAGCAACAATCTCATCATCATTCAGCAGTAAACAAAACTCTTCAATGACTCTCTCTTGATCCTCTTCTTCAATCAAGTCCTCCTTGAGTGAAGATGACCTTGCACTGTTCCTTGGGGTTCTGAATAGCTTTACCAGGTAGTTGTCCTTGCTTTGTAGCAGCAGCAAGAAGAAGCATGATTCTCCAGAGAGTAAACTCTTGTGTTGAAATTCTCGATCTTGGAGTTGATTTCAGCTAGCTTCTTGCTTGTGTCCACTACACCATCAGCTTGCCCTTGAAGTAGTTGTTTCAGCATGCTTTGAGCTCATTCTCTTGCGTAGGTGCAGGCTGGGGTGGTTGGTGGGGAAAGCCAGGTGGTATGTGCATTTGCTGACCAGGAAAAGTCCCTTGGGCCTTGGTAATTGTTCTTTTGACCATACCCATGTTGTGGGGCTTGACTCGATCGAGCTTGCTGTTGTTGAGGATAGACCTGGTCCTGAGGGTTAGCAACATCAGTGTTTCGGTATGACATGGCTGGGTTGGACTTGTAATTATAGTATCCTTTGTTGTAACCTCCTTGCCCATTGCTCATGTAGCACACCTCAGCAAATTGTGTATCCTCCCCTTCTTGGACTGGTTCCATCTCTTCAGCAGACACAAAGTTGACTTTCTTCATTGTGGACTGAGCTAAGATCAGCTTATCCAACTTCTCATTCAATGCCTTAACATCTTTTCTCAATTTCTCATCTGACTCGATCAAGTGGTGGGTCGAGCTCCGATTGGTGCGATCAAACTCTTCTCCATAGCTTCCATTGGAGTTTGCAATGTTCTCCACAAGCTGCCAGCCATCATCCACATCCTGATTAAGGAATTTCTCATTGCTGGCTGTGTCCAACATTTCTCTATACCTTGCCAAGCAACCTCTATAAAGAGTAGAGAGTAGAGATTTATTGTTGAAGCCATGATGTGGGCACTGACTTGTGTAGCCCTTGAACCTCTCCCAAGCCTCAGCAAAATGTCTCATTGTTTCACTGTATGAAGCTCGATATCTCACTCCTAAGCTTGGCTGTGCGACCGGTGGAGAAAAAATTTGCAAGAAAGGGCTTCTTGCATTCATCCCAAGTGGTGATTGTGCCATGGGGCAAGCTCTTCTCCCATTGGTGAGCTTTGTCAGCTAGAGACATAAGAAAGAGTCTCAGCTTGATGGCATCTTCAGAGACACCATTGATCTTTGTCAAATCGCAAAGCCTATCAAACTCATCAAGGTTATAACGCCCCGACCGTCCCTCCCGGTGAGTCACCCACGCCCTCTCTCTGGACCCGCAGGCCCATCTCGGCCCGTGGGCCTCACCCCTGTCCGACGGCCGGTCCGTTATTTTCGAGAGGCTCTAATGATTTTTTTACTATCCGTGCAATCAACACCTGACCTTTCCCCGTGTTTTTGGCCTCACTCACACGGTTTCGGAAACCACTTCCCGAAAGGTCACCCATCCTTCAACTACTCCAGCACAAGCACGCTTAACTGGAGTTACTTATAGACCTTTGACCGAAAAGGTAAGTGCACTTTGTTGACATAGGTAGCCAAATCAATTCTCTTAGTCCTCTCTTCATTTATCAAAAACCGGGATGTTACAACTCACCCCCACTCACTATGCGCAACGAGGACGTTGCGCACCTCGATCGTCACCCCCTGACGGTGTGAGTCAAGGCCACTTCAACTTGACTCCACACTCTCGTCTGGGTTTGGCTCTGATACCAAATTATAACGCCCCAACCGTCCCTCCCGGTGAGTCACCCACGCCCTCTCTCTGGACCCGCAGGCCCATCTCGGCCCGTGGGCCTCACCCCTGTCCGACGGCCGGTCCGTTATTTTCGAGAGGCTCTAATGATTTGTTTACTATCCCTGCAATCAACACCTGACCTTTCCCCGTGTTTTTGGCCTCACTCACACGGTTCGGAAACCACTTCCCGAAAGGTCACCCATCCTTCAACTACTCCAGCACAAGCACGCTTAACTGGAGTTACTTATAGACCTTTGACCGAAAAGGTAAGTGCACTTTGTTGACATAGGTAGCCAAATCAATTCTCTTAAGCCTCTCTTCATTTATTACAAACCGGGATGTTACAAAGGTGGTCAATGGGGTCTTCACTTGGCAATCCATGGAACATCTTGTTCTGACAAGGTTGATCATTCCCAGCTTGATCTCAAAGTTGTGGTTCTGCACTGGTGGTGGAACAATCCCTTGTCTCTGTTGGTGGCGGTTTGGAGCATCTCCTAGACCAATCGGTCGAGTTTGCCTAGCTCGACCGAGTCCATTGCCCAAAGGGTTTCCATTCCCCTCTGGTACATCCATTGTATCAGCAACAAGCACCTCAGGTTCCTCTTGTACCCTCTGTGACCTCTGAACTCTTTCTACCCGTTGTAAAGTCTAGCTCGACCAAGTCTTCTGTAGACCGACTCGATCGAGTTCGCATACACCTGCAAAAAGAGACAAAAACCCAGCAGTACAATAGAACAGGGGTGGTATAGCTTGATCGTCCAAGTGTATTTGAAACTCAAATGCAACAAAATCAACCCAAATGGCAACGGCGCCAAATTGATGATAGGATTTGTGTGTGGTGTGAAAGATATGAAATGAAATGTGGTGGAATGCAACAGTGGTATATGATGAGGTGGTAAGATGCAAACACAAACACAGTCAACAATTCCCTTTAACCATCATAGTCATTATAGCATAAGGGTATCAATCCAAAATGGGGAAGTTGTCACTCTATGAGAATATGAAACAACAAGGAAGTCAAGCAAGCAGTAAATGATATGGGGTAACACTAACAACCTAATGAAACAGAAATGAAATGCAGTAAGTAAATAAAGCAGTAGAGCAACAGCTCGACCAAGGACTCGAGTCGAGTGGGAACAGAGTACCGAGCTCGATCGAGTTTAGGGTCGAGTTGAAGTAAAAAGCTAAAGGCAGCGACTTTAACAAGCTAAAGCGAGAATTAGGGTTCAAGACAGGGTTTTGCAATCAGAGGAAGCTACACTTAATCAATCTTGCTCTTAAAACTCCTTGTATCAAGGTTCTCTTGATATTGGGCTTCTCAATGCCTAGCTAACCCTTTCCCAAGGTGAAGCTATCAACCAAGGAATGATCTCAGAAACAGGGGGTTAGCCAGTGAGAATCAAGCCTTGGAGGCCATAGGATCATTGCCAAACTAATCCATCCAACCCCTTAGACTCCATTTCGAGAGCAAGAGATATTGGAGCTCTTAGTGGACTTTTCCAGCGATTTCCATCACTTCCATGTGGAGAATCGCCTAATGGACATACAAGCCAGGGGTAGTGGTCATGTAGCCTTAAGTTTCCAAAAGAGAGAGATCTAGATTAAGACATAAGCAAGAAGGATTAAGCATATGAAACCCTAATCTATCCCATCTCAAACCCTAATGGGTAACTACTCACTACACATGAATGTAAACACAAGCAAATGCAATGAAATGACATCAAATGAAAGAGGAGATAAAGATAAACAACTTTTATTGAAATAAGCAAGTGCAAATACAAAAGATTATCCAGGATCTAGGATTCAAGAAGCAAGAGCTTCAAGAACACAAAGATGGATTAGAGCTCTAAAAAGTAAAAGACAATAATTAAAAGAAGCTAAAACAAAAGTAATCTAAAGCTTGGTGGTTTTTTCGTGGCTTAGAGCCTTTAAATACAAGAGGATTAGGTTTAGGGTCAAAGGAAAGTCAAGGGGGAAGCAACATTTTTCGGGTTTGACTTTGACTTCCAGCTCGATCGAGTTGAAGCTTGGCCGGTCGAGTTGAGGAACTCGACCGGTTGGTCGAGTAGGTCGAGCTGGTCTTCAAGATGGCTTCCTCCTTCTTCCTTTGCGTGTCCAGTTGAGCTGCGTCCATGCACCAAGTCCTTCCATGCTCCTCACGTCCCATATGCTCCAGAATGCTCCAAAAGACCTATTTCAAAGGACCAAACATGCATATGTATGCAAATGCAACCTAAAACTACTATGAATGCATAAGAAGAGAAAAGGAACAAGATATGATGCTAAATGGATGCTAAAACTATGCAAAAGATGCATAAAAGATGTACTAAAACTATGCAAAATGCAAGTACATCACTATCTTGAAGACCAATTCGATCACCAGCTCGACCATCCTTTTCTTTACTTTTTAGCAACTCTTAATCCAATCTTTGTGTTCTTGAAGCTCTTGCTTCTTGAATCCTAGATCTTGGATTATTTGCTTTGTATTTGCACTTTTGCTATTTCAATAAAAGTTGTTCATCTTTATCTCCTCTTTCTTTGATGTTTATTTCATTGCATTTGCTTGTGTTTACATTCATGTGTAGTGAGTAGTTCCCCCATTAGGGTTTGAGATGGGATAGATTAGGGGATTCATATGCTTAATCCTTCTTGCTTATGTCTTAATCTAGATTCTCTCTCTTTTGGATAAATCTTAAGGCTACATGACCACTACCCCTGGCTTGTATGTCATTAGGCGATTCTCCACATGGAAGTGATGGAAATCGCTGGAAAATATCCACTAAGAGCTCCAACAACCTTGCTCTCGAAATGGAGTTCATAGGGGTTGGATGGATTAGTTTGGGCAATGATCCTATGGCCTCCAAGGTTATATTCTCACTGGCTAACCCCCTGTTTGTGAGATCATTCCTTGGTTGATAGCTTCCACCTTGGGAAAGGGTTAGCTAGGAATTGAGAAGCCCAATATCAAGAGAAACCTTGGTACAAGGAGTTTTAAGAGCATGATCGATTAAGTGTAGTTTCCCCTGGTTGAAAAACCTTGTCTTGAACCCTAATTCTCGCATTAGCTTGTTAAAGTCGCTACCTTTATTGCTTTTTACTTCAACTCGACCCTAAACTCGATCGAGCTCGATTACTCTGTTCCCACTCGACTCGAGTCCTTGGTCGAGCTGTTGCTCTACTGCTTTATTTACTTACTGCATTGCTTTACTGTTTCATTAGGTTGTTAGTGTACCATCCTATCATTTACTTCAAGCCGGATTCTGGTGGCCAAGCCTTTTCAAAGACACTCACGACTTCATTGCAAGGTGTGATAGATGCCAACGAGAAGGGAGCATTTCCAAGCGCAATGAAATGCCACAAAACCCGATACTTGAGGTGGAAGTGTTTGATGTATGGGGCATCGACTTCATGGGCCCCTTTGAGCCACCTTCTCATGGGAATAGATACATCCTAGTGGCAGTTGACTATGTATCCAAGTGGGTCGAGGCAATCGCTTCCCCAACGAATGATGCCAAGGTTGTGCTCAAGCTGTTCAAAAGCATCATCTTCCCGAGATATGGAGTGCCAAGGGTTGTAATAAGTGATAGAGGAAGCCATTTTATCAACAAAGTCTTCGAGAACTTGTTGAAGAAGTATGGAGTCAAGCATAAGGTAGCGACACCATACCATCCTCAGACAAGTGGTCAAGTGGAAGTGTCAAACAAGCAGATAAAGGGGATCCTCATGACGATTGTGGGAGTGACCAAGAAGGAGTGGGCAGTTAAGTTGGACGACGCTCTTTGGGCTTACAGGACCGCCTATAAGACGCCAATAGGAAGGACGCCTTTCTCGCTCCTTTATGGGAAATCGTGTCACCTTCCGGTGGAGATTGAGTACAAAGCGCTTTGGGCAATCAAACTGCTCAACTTCGACATCAGATCTGCCCAAGAGAAGAGGGGTTTCGACTTACATGAGTTGGAAGAGATCAGTCTGGACGCATATGAGAGCTCCAAGATTTACAAAGAACGGACTAAGGCATTTCACGACAAGAAAATTTTGCCTAAAGTCTTCAAGGTTGGAGAATATGCGCTGCTTTTCAACTCAAGAGCTAAGTTGTTCCCTGGGAAGCTCAAGTCCAAGTGGTCGGGCCCGTTTGAGATTAAGGAAGTCCTTCCTTATGGAGCTGTCACTTTGCTCAACCAGAATGGCGAGGAGTTCACAGTGAACGGCCACAAGCTCAAACCATATTTGGGCCAACGCATTCAAGGAGAAGGAGTCTCAACTCCTCTTGCGGACGCCCCCTTAGCCTAAAAGGTTATGAAAGTCAAGCTATGGGACTCAAAACAAGCTCACTTGGGAGGAAGTCCCATGTTTATCTTTGTATATATTTATTTTCCTTTAATCTTTCTTGTTTTATTTCTTATAAGTGCTTAGGTGTATAGATGAAGGAAGAGTTCAGCCAGCTTGACGAGTAGCTTGGGCAAATTGACCAAGAAGATCATTGCAACGATTTTTGAAAGGACTTAAGTTTTTCTCAAAAATCGTTGCCAGGTAAGCCCATTTCTGTTCACAAGGCCCACCAGAAAAAAAAAAAAAAAGGTGTATAGATGAAGGAAGAGTTCAGCCAGCTTGACGAGTAGCTTGGGCAAATTGACCAAGAAGATCATTGCAACGATTTTTGAAAGGACTTAAGTTTTTCTCAAAAATCGTTGCCAGGTAAGCCCATTTCTGTTCACAAGGCCCACCAGAAAACAGTTTTTACTTGGGTTTTATTCGGAATTTAGTCTCGGTTTGAAAAGAAAAAGAAAAGAGGAGAAAAAGGAACGTGGGAGAGAAAAAGTAGTCAATTGGGGAACTTATGATTTGACAGCGGTTTTAATCCAAATCCCCGTCCGATTTTTCCGCAACCCCATCTCTCTCCTACTTTACCTTTTTAAAACCGAGACAAGCCAAACATCTCTCTTTCACACTTCTCCTTTTTCCCGATTTGTGCAAGAAAAAAATTTCTCTTCTTCTCTCTACAATTTCGCTCTTTCTTCTTCACTTTCAAAACCGTTTTCTGCGCTCAACCGGTAATTTCTCTGACTTTGGCTAGATTTGGTTTTGATTTTCGCTTAGTAGAGGTTAGATTTGTTTCGGGTTTAGGTTGAAAGAGAGATTTTGAGTTTGGGTTTTTGAAAACTGTTTTGCATGTCTCTGTTTTTCCGAGATTTGAGTTCACCGCCGGTTTTAATCGATCTTTTCAGTTGAGATCTGTCTAAAGCTTTGATTTTTGTTTCGATTCTCGACTTGCTTGATCTGTTTCTTCTCTAAGCCTTGCGTGTGACATTGTTTGGCTAGAGTACTTACTCTGTTTGTGAGGTTTGGTTGTTCCACAGGAACAATGGTGTCCACGACAAGAAGAACTCTCTCGAGAGCCGCGGCGGAGAAGGCGGAAGGAAAGAAACCGGGGACGGAGGAAGGCTCAGGCAGTAGGAAAAGCGGATCCACGGTCATGAAAGGCAAGGACTACGCCGAGATCTTTGGCCAGATGCCTTCGTCGGAACGAGATACCCTGACCTCACGACAATGGCAGAGCTAGGGATCTCTCAGGACTGTCACTACCTCTTCGATGAGATGCAGCTTACGAGGCTGATGATGACTCCTCAACCCGCGTACAAGAAGGAAACCATCGAGTTCCTCTCCACTCTCCGAGTTAACTTCTACGAGCCTGACGAGATCGTGCCTGAGGGCCATGGAAGTGGAAGGTTCTCCTTCCGAATCAACAAGAGGAAGTACCGGATGAGTTTCAGAGATTTGGAGGATGTGTTCCACTTTGACCACAAGGAGGGACGAGAGACAGAACCGGGAACGCCACCTGCGGAGCTTCAAGCCTTCTGGACCATGATTGGCGTCAATGAGTACATGTCCAGTACAGCCAAGAGCACGCACATCAGGAACCCGACGCTCAGATACGTCCACAAGGCCCTCGCTCACACCATCTATGCGAGGCGCGATGTGACTGGAGTCAATGAGAAGGAGCTCTTCTTTCTCAACGAGGGAATGAAGAAGATCATTCGGGAACTACCTGATGGAACAGAGATGGTCGGGGACAGATCAGGGAACAGCGTAGCAACCTATCTCCTCAAGAGCTTCCTCAGCTACATAGAGTATGCTCTGTCTCTCAACAGGGTGCATAAGGCAAGCAGCGGTCAGCTGAGCTGTGGAGGGTTGATAACACCGATCCTCATACACTTTGGGATCACGCTTAATAAGCCGGTCGATCCCCTTGCGATGAACATCCAGTACCTCCGCAAGACCACATATCTCCGAGGCCAACCCATCAGCGGACGCCACAACTACCAGTTCGCCTACAGGCAGTTCAATTTCGGGCTGGCGAGGTTCTTCCTGCCAAACCCGCCCTTGACCTACATCACGGTCAGGGAGAACATCGACTTCGATCCTCCTATCAAAACTATCCTTGAACAAGGCCAAGAGGAGGAAGAGTACGATTACCGAGGGGCAGCTGATGTGGAAGAAAGCTCAGGAGACGAGGAGAACCTCATGGACTACAAAACCGGAGAGTTCCACTTCAAGAACCACGAGATCAAAAGGAGGAAGTCTGCAGCTAACACTGCACTTGAGAGCATCAACACGCTCAAGGCCTGGAACCAATTCCCGGACAAAGCGATCAAGTCCCTCCTCAAGACCGTGAAGAAGATGGGGAAGCGCATCAAGCAGCTGACAAAGGGCAAGAGCAAGTCTCCAAGCCACGACTCCGTCAACACTACTCCGATACACCTCTACTCCATTCACTCCAACAATGGCGACGATGGCGAGAACGTGGTCGCCGATTCCGAAGAAGGTGACGAAGGCTCCTCAAAATTCCAAACGGCAGAAACCTCAACCAGAAAGAGGAAAGCCTCAAAGTCACCTCCGGCGAGCACAAAGGATGATTCCACATCATCCTCCTCCTCAGAACTTTCTGAGAGGTATGAACCCCAACCTGTAAATAGCATGCATTTTTCTTTTCTATTTTCACTTATCTTTTGCTTTGATTCTCTCTTCTGCCTTTTTATCAAACAAGGGACCGTGTGAACTAAGTGTGGGGGAGAGGGTCAATGGTATTTGACAAAGTGCTTTATGTTCTTATTTTATATTTTGCATAAACTTTGAGTCTCATGCATTTGCATCTTTAGAAAATCATGTAAAATTTTCATTTTTGCATTGCTAAAAAAAAAAAAAAACCAAAAACAGAGCATGTAGTTAAGATCATTTCATTTGCATCTGAGCAATGTTTGTTGAGCTGATTGATTGAGTTGCGGAATTGCCTCAGTGCCCTAGTTCTAAGTTGTTTGGAACTTTTGATAGTTCTTGAAGTTAAGGTAGAACCGCATCATCAAAAAGCATCATGACTGTCTTAGTAAAACCGAATGCATTGCTGTGATTTGAATCTGCTGCTTGTCTAAGTGAAACCTGAACCTGAACATCAATTATCATGCTCATGCTTGTTAAGTTCAACTCGTGGATCATACATACTTGAATCATCTTTGCATTATTGTTCATCCTTCTTTGTTGATTCAAGTAGAACTCCCTGCCCTTAACCAACCCTTCCTTTCAAACCAAATGTTGTTCTTGTGTGTTGTGAGGCCTTTTGGAAAAAGCTTGGCATAAAGTGTTAGGTCTTGAGCCGACAAGGATAGGTGATCATGTAGATTCTGGTCCACGCTTTTTGGGCCAGACTAGGATAGGACTTGGGTTGGGAATGTCTTGGGTTGGGATTCAAAAAGAAAAAGAAAGAAAGAGCTTGTAAGCAAAAAGAAAAGAGGCGTTTCAGCTAAGGTAGATTGAGACTTGGTCTGTGAGTTTAAGAAAGCCCCCATCAGAAAATAAAAAAAAAAAAAAGAAAAAGAGTTTCAAAAGGAAAAGATGGGTTAGGGCAAGAGTTTAGACCAAGTCTCTCGAGTTTGTCTTTCAAAAAGCCTTAGGAAAATTCGCTAAAAGTTTCAAGAAGCTCTAAGAAAAGAGAAGGAAAAGAAGCCCAAAGGGAAAAGGGTAGAAATAGGAAGTTTCGGATTTGAGAGTCACCAAAAGGTACTTGGGGTTTCGGGTAGATGATCATTTGTCCTTGTACCTCCCAATTGGTTCTCGCCTTTAGCATTATGCCGAAGCTGTTTCACTTCATTTTGAGAGAACCCTTCCCTTTGTCATTTGACTTGAGCTTGCATTGTGATTTGCTCTCTCTCTTTCCACTGGCCAAACGAGTTAACTTGACTTGCATGTGTTTTGATTCACCGTTTTAGCTTTTAATGAATGTCAAAAGGAGTAGAGGATTTGAATGCATGTTTAGGTTGAGCTAGTTGTCATTGATTGTGATTATGAAGGTGCGGCTAAGATTTTTGAAGTAGAGAACTTCTTTTGCGCTTTAGACCTTGGAACTAGGTTGTTGAATCAATTTCTCTTCTCGGCTTTCACTTGACTCTATTGCTCAGAGAACACTCTTATGCTTGGTTGATGTTTGCTTGAGGGCAAGCAAAGACTAAGTGTGGGGGTGTTGATGTACTCAACATTTGCATACATTTAGCCTCTCATACTGCATAGTTCTGTGTATAATTGAGTCTCATTTCATAACATTTAGTGTAGCTTTAGTCTACTTAGGATCATTTAGCCTTTAGGTTAGCATTTTGCATTTCCATTGCATTTGGGGTGCATTTATCAGGTATTCGGAGCTTATGGCGAAGGAGCAGACCGGAGGTGATGATCGGAGATGGACCAGAAGGAGATCGGAGTAATCGGATGGCAAAACAAGCTAACGGAACAGAGCCTTGAGCAAAAGGAAACAGAGTGCTTGAGGAAGTTGCTCAAGCTGCGCGCATCTGTGAAGTCAAAGCAAAAACGTTGACCAAAGATACACTTTTCCCTTCTCTATATAAACCTTTAAGACCTAATTTCTTAGGCAATCTTTATCTTGTAACCAGTTTCTCTCCAAGAAAAACAGTTTGTTCTTGGAGATCTTTTGTAAGCTTTTACTTTGAATCTTTTAAGTTTAAGAAGTACTTAGTTTGCTAATCTTGTCTTAATGATGATTTCTAGCTTTCTTTACCTCTTTGCTTTCGGTTCGAGTATGAGTAGCGAGTAGTTCTTAGAGGTTTCGAGGGTGAGATTAGGAAAGGTCAGAGCTTTAGCTTCCTGTTAACCTCTTCCTTAATCTCCCTTGACCAGCTTTTCTTTAGCTAGAGCTTTATATCTCGGCTTCTTCTTGATCACTTGAAGTCGCGAATCTAGGCTAGTACACCTAGAAGGTGTTTGCGTTAATGCCTAAGAGAGCTAGCGATAGAGAGAAACATTCCCAACCTAAGAGATTGGTTGTTGGGATGTATCTTGTGCATTTTAGACTAGATCTTGTGAAAGCTTGTAACTTTGAGTCCACTAGCGAGAGCTAGCTTTGGATTCTCAGCTTGCAAAGCGATCTGACCACGAGAGTGGCGGATTTACCCAAAGTCTAAGCACAAAGCTTGAGTCTTGGTGTTGTTGAGAAAGGAAGGTTGAGCTCGTTTGATCCCAACTGAATCTCACCCAAGACGCCTCCTTTATCTTATATTGTTAAAGTTTAAATCTTTATTTCATCTTGTTAGCTTAAAGCATAGATCTTTACAAAACAAAACCCAATCTTTTATCAAACTTGATCTTTGCCTTTTCTTTATTTCGATAGTTTGAAATCTCCACTTGGATTGACATCTCAAATACTACAATGACATGAGTGGTATGGATTGAGATTAGTTGATACAAAATCCTACTTATCAACTTGGCGCCGTTGCCAAAGTGGAGACTTTTAAGCATTTCGTTTTCAAGAAAAACCTTAGATTAAGTCGGTTTTGCTCTATCTTGCCTAAAGTCGCTAACTTTCTGTGAAACCTCTCATCTTTGACCTCAGGTGTATGCACACCAGATCCAAAGGACGAGACAACCTCCTAAGTACAAGCGATCTTGACAAAGCAGAGCAAAACAAACGGTCACGCAGAGTTACTTCGCGAACCAGAACACGAGAGGTTCCGGACATGGCAGCCCAACCCCAACAGGAAGGATTCCCACCCGGACCGGAACAACAAGGTGGTCAGCGAAACAATCCACCTCTGCGACCTCACCGTCAGATAGGTGCCGGCGATGCACCTAACACTCACGAAAACCGTCAAGGCATAGCCCCGCCAAATGTGCACAACAACTTCGAAATCAAACCGCACATTCTGCATCAGGTCCAACAAAAGATCTATCACGGTCTACCTGAGGAAGACCCGTTGGACCATCTTGACGAGTTTGACAGAGCATGTGATTTGATCACACAGAATGGGGTAAGCGAAGACGCAACCAAACTTCGTTTATTCCCATTCTCACTTGATGGCAAAGCTCGCCAATGGGAAAAGACGATACCTCGAGGGTCCATCACAAGCTGGGATCAGTGCAAGAAAGCCTTCTTGGCTAAGTTCTTCTCCTCAGTCAGAACTGCAAGCTTCAGAACCAACATCTCAAGCTTCGCACAAAAGCACGGCAAGAGTTTCACAGACGCTGGGAACGCTTCAAAGGATACCAATCGAAGTGCCCACACCACGGTTTCTCTCAAGAGTCACTCCTTAAGTACTCTATACCGTGGTGTACTGCCTCGCTTTAGGCAGATGCTTGACACAGCAAGCCAAGGCAACTTCTTGGCCAGAGATGTTGAAGACGGTCTGTTCTTGGTGGAAAACATACCAAAATCCTACTTATCAGTCATCTTCACTCAAGAAGGACTTGTTGAAGAAGAGGATCAAGAAAGGGTCATTGAAGATTTTTGTTTACTGCTGAATGATGAAGAGATTGTTGCTGCTGAGGCTCCTGGAGTCCAGATTGATCAACCAGAAGTGCATGCACCTACTGTGGCCATTCACACTTCACCAGTTGAGCTCGCACGACAAGCTCGATCGGCAGCTCGATCGAGTCCAACTCTAGCTCGATCGAGTCCGACCTCTTCTGTCCGAAGCCTTTTTGCTTGATCCTTACAACCGGTTGCCGCTTCCTCGTCTCGCCTACTTAGTCAAGGTCACAAGGAAGTGATTCACAAGTTCAGAAGAGATCTCAGTGGGATTGGAATTGAGTTGCCTACTATGGATAGCATGAGTGAGGCATTTGATCAAATGCAAATGGTCAAGGATGTTCTAGCCAACAGTGATAAAGTTTCAGAGGTCCTACAAGAGTCTACTCATCAGTTCAACCTGCTTACTTCACCCACCTTCCTACCAAAGGTCAAGGATCAAGGGAAATTCACTCTCCCTTGCACACTTGGGCATCTTGAGATTGACAATGCCTTAGTGGATTCTGGAGCAAGCATCAATCTGATCTCTCTCTCCATGGCAGAGAAGCTAGGCATTGCTGGAGCCTTGCAGCGCCCTACTACTTCAATCATGTTTGGAGATGCAACTTCTAAGTCTCCTCTTGGAGTGTTCAAGAACTATCACTTGAAAATTGGAGAATGCATCATCCAAACTGATCTCACTGTGATGGAAATGGAAGAAGAGAAGGATTTGCCTTGTTATTGGGAACCCCTTTCCTTAGTACAGTTGGCGCTTCAATAGACTTTCACAAGCAAGAAGTGATCCTTCACAAGGTGAATAGTTTGGTGTCATATCGCTTGCAGCCTAGAGGTTCAGACTTTTGTGCCACAATTGACAGTACCAATCTCAGTTCTAAGAGTCATGGAGCTACAAAGGTTGTGAAGGAAAGGGTTGACAAGGAACCAAGAGTTGGGAAGGATAAGGATGAGAGAGGACCAAGGATTGAGAAGCCACGTCTTGAGAGGGCTAGAGTTGAGAAACCACGATCTGATAGGCCAAGAGCTGAAGACTTGTTCAAGCCCCTTGTGTGCTTGATGAAGAGAGCCTTCAAGCTTTGTTTGATGAGCCACTAGGAAGGGCTCTAAAAGAAGGGGAGGATGCAGCCTCTAAGGCAAGACCAGGGATAAAAGAAAGGATCCACCAGCTCAGGCCCCTTCAGTCAAGCCATCTCAGCTCACAATGACTTTGTTCCCCACCAAGTTTGAAAATGGGAAGATTGAGTACAAGATAAGGTACAAGGGGAGATCAAGGCCATTCTCTAGAGCCAAGGCCTTGGTGACTTCAGAACAGTCCAGGGACCCAACCAAGCTAAAGGAGCTTCTGTCTCAAGTCCTCACTATCACCCTTGATGGTGGGACTAGCTCAACCAATGCCTAAGAAGGTAAAGGTCAAGCTATGGGACCTTAAACAAGCTCACTTGGGAGGAAGTCCCATGTTTATCCTTGTACATACTCTATTTATGCAATTTCTATCTATCTTTATGTTTTAACCTTTGAATAAGTTAAGTTTAGGTGTCAAAGGAGCCAGCTCGACCGACAGCTCGATCGAGCTAGAAACCAGGGCAACTCGATCGAGTTCACAACTCGACCGAGGTAAGTTTTTGAATTTCAAATTCATAACCGTTTTCTTGGTCAAGGGAGTGGGTCCCACAAGCTGATTTTGGTCCCCCACTACCCTAATTTGATCAGAGAATCCCTAGCTTTTGTTCCCTCTTTATTTCATCTTTTAATCTCAACCACACATCTCAAACACTCCCTCTTCCCCATAACTCGATCGAATCCACCTTCTCTCTCCCACAATCTTAAAATTTCTGAAATCATCTCTCTCTCTCACCACAAGAAAAATCGATTTCAATCTTTTCTCTCTTAAGTTTTTGCGATTTCCTTTGTTCTTCTTCTTTTTTGTTTAGTTTACTGCTCTTCAATTCATCATTCAAGCAAGGTATGAACCCTAAACCCTTGATTCTTCATCTCGATTTCCTATTGCTTGTTTCCTCTTTGATTTTTGATTGCATGTGTCCCTTGTGGACTTGTTCTTGAGTAATTGCTTTCATATTTCTCCTGTATAATCTTGTGAATTTGCTTCACCTCACCTCTGTTTTGCCTTAAACTTGTTGCATGTGCTTGAAAATTGAATTTGAGTTTGGTATTGGTTAAGATGCTTAGTTTCACTAGAATTGCTCATTGTTCCATTTACTAGTTGTTCTTGGTTCAATTTGATTGATTAGCATCCTTTCCAGCTCTTAATACTTGAATTAGGTTTGGTTATACTCTGTTTTCACCCAACTCGATCGAGTTTGTCACTCGAGTTTTTTGACTCGATCGAGCTGAGTGTCGAGTTGACCAAACCGATCATTGCAACTCTAATTCTTTGTAATCTTTGATGCATTTCAGGTACTTTAGTGAAGAAACAGAGTAACAAGATGACAAACAGTGAGGGAAGCCGGCTTCACAAGGAGAATGGTTGAGGGTGAATCAAGCAATGCAAGAGAAAAAGGCTTAAGATGCAAGCCGATTTGGAAGGATGATCAAGGATGGAAGAATCTGATGCAGAGGATGTGTACTCTGAGGAAGAGTCTGAGAGTGAGAGATTGAGGGAAGAAAGGAGAACCAAGAAGAGGAATGACCCATTAGTAGTGAGAGTGAGCAAGGGGAGTTTGAGATTGGAGTGAACCTTGTTCAAGAGGAGGGAATGGCTCTCCAAGTGAAGAAGGAGTGATGAGACTGAGAGTGAAGAGGAAGGAGAAGAGGTGAACAATTGGTTGATGAGATGAGCAAGAGAACCAAGATGAGCCCATGGAAGAGGCTGAGGCAAGAGGAGGAGAAGAACTCCCCATGTACCAAGAGCACTACAATGCTCTCTTCTCCATGGACTTTGTGGAGACCAAGTACCCACATGATGACACATGAAGGCTTGGATCTTTGAGGATGTGGAGTTGGTCTCAAGAACATGCACTTGGCCAAGTTCTTCTCTCACCGCATGGAGTCTACAAGGAGCTCACTTGTGAGTTCTTTGGCTCAATGAGGTATCACATTTGATGAGCTCGATCGAGCTGAGTTGGACCAAGGCTTGGGATGGATCACGTTCTTGGCAAGAGGAGAGAAAGAAGATGGTGACCTTTAGGCAGCTTGAGATACTCTTTGGGTTCACTATGGAGAAGGGAACCATGGAACTCAAGGAAAAGAACTCCAAAGGGTTTGGGCTACAATCGCTGAAGAGGGGTACTCTTCCTCAAGGTCCAAGGCTGCCAGATCAGGAGCCCAGTGCTTGAGATATGTGCACAAGGCTCTTGCCAACACCTTCTTTGCAAGGAAAGGCCACTGGGACAATCAATGAGGGAGAAGTGAAGCTCCTTGACATGGGAATCAAGCCCATCATCTCACGCACAAGGATGGGAAGAAGATCAGAGGAGATAGGGCACACGCAGGGAACTCATGCCTCTCCTTGAGCAGCTCCAAGCCTACAAGGTCACAGCTTACAACACTAGGCACCAAAGAGGAAGAAAGCTTAGTGTTGGAGGGGTGATCACACCATCTTTGTGCAGCTGGAGTCCCAAGTGGACAAGAGAAGGTCTACTCCACCAGGTTGGATGGACATCAAGTTTTGCAAGACCAACCTCCTCATTGAGCACAAGGAGTTGGATGGGAGATTCCAATTCAAGTTCACACATCCATTGGCTGGACCTCCAAGCTTCTCTGCCCAACCCTGAGCTCACCACAGGTCAGGGGTAGAACATTGACTTCAGACCCCCTGTGTACACTTAGTTGGGCATGAAGGATGATTTGCGAGAAGAGGAGCCTGAGCTCGATCGAGCTGAGGATCGAGCTGAGGTCGAGCTGAGGATCGAGCCAGGAGAGTGCGATTTGGGTGAGCCTGAGTGCTATTACTTTGAGGAGTATGAGGCTCCAAGGATGAACCCCTCTGTTGTGGCTGCCACAAGAGGATTGGACTTCTCCAAAAGTTCAACAAATGGCAAGGGAAAGCCATTGAGAAGATGCAAAAGTCCATGGACAAGATGGTGAGCAAGATCAAGAGTTTGGAGAAGAAGGTTTCTGGTTCTTCAAGCAAGAAGAAGAAGTCCAAGGCCCCCACTTTCCCTAGGAGTAGATCACTCCTCACCACTCCAAGGAGGCTCCCTGCCCAAGAGCCTCACAGAGCCTCTTCTTTCGAGCCAAGGGAAGGAGAAGACAACACGCAGAGAAGGAGGAAGAGCTTCCAAGGCCAGACGCTCCAGCTCGACCACCGGACTCGATCGAGTCCAAACAGAGGAAACTCAACTCGATCGAGCTGAGTCGAGTGAGGAGCCCCAGTTCGAGAACCCTGGGTTCGAGTACGATCCCAGCCTACCAGGAGCCTTCCCAGAGCTGGAACCCCTATGGACAGTACGAGCTAGCCAATGCTCCACCAAGGCCAAGGAAGCCACACCACTTTGAGATGAAGAAGAGGAGGAAGAGGAGCCGCAAGCTCGATCGAGTGAGGGCAACCCCAGTTGCATGGAGTGCTCCTGATGGCCGTCTCCCATCTCCAGACCACGACCTAGTCTCCCAGTTCTTTGGGGGACACTGAGGTATCCAAACACCAACCCTTGTATATACCATTTCATATTTTCTTTCATTTGTTCTTGTTTTTTCTTGGTTTTGCCCTCTTGAATCTTTCACTAAATTTTTCTCACACAAGGGACTGTGTGATTTAAGTTTGGGGGAGGGTTCAAGAGATGATTTAACCTTGTTTTCTTTGTTCTTAGTTTTTCATTTCTTTTGCATAGAAAAACCAAAAAAATCATAAAATTTTCAAAAAATCCAAAAATATTTTCATCTTTTTGCATTCATATTTGTTAGACTTGTTTAGGATTGCATTTTTCACTTGCATTGTTGATTTGACTTTGAAAACTTGTCCATCTTTTGCGATTTCTTGAGTGCCCTGTTTTTAGATTCTTTTGTGCATTAGGGTGAGATTGATTGAGCAGCAAGAACCATGTTTATCTTGATCATATCACTGCATGCACATCTCATTCAACCATTGCTGTGATTTGATGCATTTCCCTATCTATTTGAACCATAACTTGATCTTTAATTACCAATGCTTGCATTTGATTTCAACTCATGGCTACCACATACATATCTGGACATTCTTTACCTATTTTCATATCCCTTTTGCTTGTCCAGATAGCTGATCTCTATCTTTGAGACAGTTACCACACCTTAAACCTAAGCCTTTTCATTTCAAACCCCATTATTATCTCTTGTGCGAATGTGAGAACCTTTCTTGGCTTTGCTTAGCATAAGGTGTTGTGTTTAAACCGGCAGGGGCAGTAGTTCTAGTTGTCTAGTTCTCTTGGGATTGTTTTCAGGCTAAGTTTGGGGGTGCCAACTCGAGCTCGATCGAGTTGGGTGTAAAAACCAGAAAAGTGGTAAAAGTTGGGAAAAACCAAAGGAAAAAGAGTTTAGTTAAGTCCAGGGAGTTGGCAGTGTTTAAAAGGGTCTAGTAAAGGTTTGGGAAGTTAAAAAAGGAAAGTAAAAAGGGTTCTAAGTAGAATGAAAAGAAGGCAAAGCCTCAAGTGTCAAAAAGGAAAGAAAAGTTCCCTAAGTGTTTAGAAAATCCCAAACCGCTAGATGTTACCTCAAGAAGCCTCTCCCTAGGAAGTTCTTAAAAGAAAAGTGAGCAAAGCTCCTCAGTTTCAAAGGCGAAATGCCAAAAAGGGTAGTTAGGATTTTGTTCTAAAAAGCTCTAAGTGTTGAACTCGATCGAGTTAGGATTAGGCGGCTCGAGCTGCTGTTCTTGCATCATCTTTGGTTCTAACACTTAGCCTTCTGCCAAAGCAAAGCCACTTTCTTGAGAGATCCCTGTTACTAAACCACCATACAAAAGAGACCCTCTTTGTCTCTTAACCCATAAACCCTTGAAACCAAATGAGTTGATTGATCTTGCATGTTTTTGGTTCACTGTTTTTGCTTAATGAATGTTAAAGGGATTTGCTGATTTGAATGCATTGTTTGAGTGACTGTGAAGTGGGATTGATGTTGATAAGCATGGTTAAATCTTAATGAATATCTCTCACCTTGTTGCATTCTAGAATCTCTAAGTTGGACATTTAGCAAATCGCTTTTGAGGACATGTTTTTAAGTGTTGAATCAGCTTTTTTCAAACCTCATCTCTTTCTTGTTCTATTTGTTTGCTTGAGGGCAAGCAAAGTTCAAGTTTGGGGGTGTTGATGTACTTGCATTTTACATAGTTTTAGCACATCTTTTATGCATCTTTTGCATAGTTTTAGCTCCATTTGCATCATATCTTGTTCCTTTTCTCTTCTTATGCATTCATGTTAGTTTTAGGTTGCATTTGCATACATATGCATGTTTGGTCCTTTGAAATAGGTCTTTTGGAGCATTCTGGAGCATATGGGACAGGAGCATGGAGGGACTTGGCACATGGACGCAGCTCAACTGGATACGCAAAGGAAGAAGGGAGAAGCCATCTTGAAGACCAGCTCGACCACTCTACTCGACCGGCCAAGCTTCAACTCGATCGAGCTGAGAAGTCAAAGTCAAACCCGAAAAATGTTGCTTCCCCCTTGACTTTCCTTTGACCCTAAACCTAATCCTCTTGTATTTAAAGGCTAAGCCACGAAAAAACCACCAAGCTTTAGATTACTTTTGTTTTAGTTTCTTTTAATTTATTGTCTTTTACTTTTTAGAGCTCTAATCCCATCTTTGTGTTCTTGAAGCTCTTGCTTCTTGAATCCTAGATCCTGGATAATCTCTTTGTATTTGCACTTGCTTATTTCAATAAAAGTTGTTTATTTCATCTCCTCTTTCTTATGATGTCTCTTTTATTGCATTTGCTTGTGTTTACATTCATGTGTAGTGAGTAGTTACCCATTAGGGTTTGAGATGGGATAGATTAGAGGTTTCATATGCTTAATCCTTCTAGCTTATGGTCTTAATCTAGATTCTCTCTCTTTTGGATAGATCTTAAGGCTACATGACCACTACCCCTGGCTTGTAAGTCCTTAGGCGATTCTCCACACGGAAGTGATGGCATCGCTGGAAAAGATCCACTAAGAGCTCCAATATCTCTTGCTCTAGAAATGAGGTCTAAGGGGTTGGATGGATTAGTTTGGGCAATGATCCTATGGCCTCCAAGGTTTGATTCTCACTGGCTAACCCCCTGTTTCTGAGATCATTCCTTGGTTGATAGCCTTCACCTTGGGAAAGGGTTGCTAGGCATTGAGAAGCCCAATATCAAGAGAAGCCTTGATACAAGGAGTTTTAAGAGCAGATTGATTAAGTATAGATTTCCTTGATTGCAAAACCCTGTCTTAGACCCTAATTCTTCTTCTAGCTTGTTAAAGTCGCTGCCTTTATT